CCCTGGGTTGGGGGGGGGGTCACCCTCAGCATCCCTCCTGGGTGGTCATCAGTGATGGGCAGAAGGGACACGCTGGCCAGTTCCCCTCCTCCTAACCCATACAGACAGCCCGAACAACGCAGCACAAGGAGCCCCCATTCCTAATCAGCCAGCATCCCAAAAGTATGGGGGACCATGTGCTTCATCACCCCAAAAAGGATGATAGTCCCCCCTACGAGTACAGCCTGTGCCTTGATGCTGGGTGGTCATCAGTGATGGGCAGAAGGGACACGCTGGCCAGTTCCCCTCCTCCTAACCCATACAGACAGCCCGAACAACGCAGCACAAGGAGCCCCCATTCCTAATCAGCCAGCATCCCAAAAGTATGGGGGACCATGTGCTTCATCACCCCAAAAAGGATGATAGTCCCCCCTACGAGTACAGCCTGTGCCTTGATGCCTGGCTCCTGCCCCAGCATAACAGGGGTGCCTGTCCCCACTCAAACCAAGCCTGGCAGCCCCACACCCCAGGGGGACACAGACCCTCCAGCACCAGTGAGGCTGCCACAGAGCTGCCTCCTAACAAAGGCCGAGCCCAAAGGACATGGTACAAGGGCTAACAAGGTGCAGAGCCACTCACTGTCCCTCTCGCCCTTGTGGAGGTCCTGGAGGCGGCAGACGTGACGGCGGGGTAGCAGCAGGGTCTGGTAGGGCCAAGTGGCCCAGTATGGCACCACAACCAGCCAGTCTGTGTTCTCCACCACCAACCGCTCCTGCGGGATACGGCACTAGATGGGGACAGGCGCAGCCCCGACACCCTGGGGATGGGCGCTCCCAGGGCCCCTGCTCTTGGGCACTGGGGGGTAGTCCCCAGCGTATATCCAGCTCCCAGGAAGGGGATATGGACAACAGCCACGTCCTCACCTTCCGGCGAGCCTCCTGCTCGGCATACTCCAGCAGCATGGGCACACCATGCTGGCTCAGGTGCTGCCGCTGGGTCCGGTCCTCCAGGTGTGCCTCGTTGGGGAGGAAGCTGCTGGCCCAAACCTGAGAGAGACATTGGGGCAGGGGGCTGGGTTACATGTACCCCGTATTTGCAGGAGTGCCCCAGCCACGCTGCCTATCTGCAGGTCCGTGCTGCCACCAGGTGGAGAGTCTGACATGTGGCAGCCACAAGAGACAGTCCCCAGGAGGGGAGGTCACAGGACAGGCATAGGGGTATCCTTGCTGCAGAAAACTTTGGGACCAGGGCAGGGGGATTCCTGTTCACATCTTCTGCCTGGGTTTGTTGTAGGGTCGCCCACAGGGACTTGCGGTTAAGCCAGGTCACGGGTGGGACAGCCTCACCTGGCAGTGCGGATGCGGGTTGGAGCAGCCCATCATCGCTCCCTTGTTCTCGAAGATCTGCAAAGGAAGAGGTGCACCCAGCAGGTCCCAGCCCCAGGGTCCCTGCTGTGGGTTCCCACAGTGTCCCTGACACACCAGGAAAGCATCCCGCAGGAGACGAGAGCCTCACACCTGCCTGGAAAGGCTTAGGGGGCCATGAGTGGGGACAGGGGACACACACACAACTGATATGGTCCCAACCCCAGGTGCTACCAGAGCACCCAGTCTTGGCACCCCGCCTCCACCCAAGACCCCCAGGGCAGGGAGAGAAGGGCAGCCCCCACCAGCCTCAGACCTGCACCCAGGGGTAGGAGGCACCCAGCTCAGCCGCCAGCTCTGCCCACGTGTCGATGACAGCCCGGATCTCTGCCAGGGACATGAGGGGCAGCGTCAGGTCCGACCAGGGGTGGAAGCACATCACCTTGCTGCAGAGGAGACACAATGAATCTGGCTTCATCTCACAGGTCCTGGCTGACATCACAGCCTGGACCCCCAGAGCCATGGGGGGTACTCACCACACACCCCGAGCTGCTGCTGCTCGAAACAAGGGGTGATCGCTGTCACCTGGGGAAGGACAGAGAGTGGGGAAGGAGAAGGTGCTGGGGCAGCACCCATGCCTCTCCAGGCCACCCTGCAGCCCCCCTAGGACCCGAGCCTGGGGGTCCCCGGCAGCCTGCTCTCCCCCCAGAAGTTACCAGGCTCAGGAGCATCGGGCTGCAGTGCAGGGAAGTCATTTGGGAAGACGAAGGTGCCCTCGTACTGGGGGTTCACCTGCCAGGGCGAGAGACGGGATCAGGGGGGGATGGGGCGGTGGGGGGAGCCCGGACGCCTGGGTCCTTGGTGGTACCTCGCCGTTGGCCCGGGCGGCCCCGGGGCAGAGGGGGTTGTTGGGGTCCCAGCGGGGCACATCCTCGGGGGGCGGCTTCTCCAGCTGCCCCTGCCAGGGGCGCTTCACCCGGTGGGCCGACACCAGCACCCAGTCGTCCCGCAGCGGGTTGTAACGAGCGTGCTGGTGCTCTGCGGGGAGAGAGGATCAGGGCAACAGCGAGGGAGGGACGCGGGGT